TACTAACTTTATTAGTTAAGCGAGTAGTTTTTGCTGTGGTATAGAAGTACTTAAAGTAAGCTTTCACTCATTTTTGTTTTTTTTTTTGCGGATCTGAAAAATGATCCGATCCATGACTCAAAATCAGTAATATGATCCGAACCGTGAGTTTTTTGATCCGTTGCACCACTACTATGTTCAGAATTTTTTTTTCATGTAATATAACTCTCTGATTTAAAAAAAAGAAGAAGCTGGAAACGCTGAAGCTACCTCATATAGGTTTTTTGATGCTGCGTAGTGCAGTGGGGTGCAACCATTCTGGTTCACAGCGTTCAACTGAGCTCCTTTGGATATTAAGGATCTCACAATTTCTTCTCTCCCAGCAGATGCTGCTATATGAAGAGGAGTCCAACATGCCTGGAATGATATAAAAGGGTAAAGAACTCCACCAAGAGGATATGCAGTGAATGACAAAGTATCAATATTGCTACTATCTGGACATGTAAACACACACAAAATTGATGTCATGTAATAACTCGACTTCTAAATCAATTGGAGATCAGCAATAACGCTGAGAGCAAAGTTTCTTTTGAAATGCAATAACATTAACTGATGCAGTGTGAGGCTCTGGACTGAAGCATGACACAATGCTGACTCACATCATCTTTGAGATCCACTTCGACTCCAAGATCCAACAGAAACTGCACGATAGCCACATGTCCAGCTGAACAAGCCCAGTGCAGAGCAGACCTGCTGTCCTGTAAGAAACGGAAGCGTTCAGAGCACTTTAAACTCGTGACAGACAGCTATCTCTGAATAAATGGATAGACTTCAATATAGCATCATGCTAACCGCTGTGCATGCGCACCGACACTTCCCACTTAACCTTACCTGGTCTGTTTTGGTCGCTAGTGAGCTGTCAGACAACACGCATTTTTTAAGTTCTTCAAACTTTCCAGTATAAGCTAAATTACAGATTTCTACATTTGATACTCTTCCCTCCATCTCAGAGTTTGGGGAGCACCAGTATGACAATCTAAATGGCCCCGCCCCAAACACAGACAAGCTGCAATTTCTTCTTCTTCTTCTTCTTTCACATGCCCATTCTTCTACCTTTCTAATTGCTTCTTGCATCATTCCATTAATATACAAAATATTCCTTCCCCTTTTCCATAGAGCTCCATCATCAGCGAAAAGAGATCGACCTACATCTTGCTGTACTTGATTAAATACATCATTAATCATTATGGAAAAAATTAATGGACTTATAACACTCCCTTGTGGAGTTCCATTTTCTATCTCACATCTGTTTGACAATTCATTTCCAATTCTCACCTGTATACTTCTGTACGCCATAAAATCTTTAATCCAATTGTAAATTCTTCCATCTATATTCATCATTTTCAGTTTTATCAAAAGTCCCTCCCTCCACATCATATCATATGCTTTCTCAACATCGAAAAATACTGCAATTACTGATTCTTTATTTACCTGAGCTTTTCTAATTTCATTTTCCAAACATACAACAGGGTCCATTGTTCCTCTTCCTTTTCTAAAACCACTTTGATATTTAGTTAATATTCCTCTCTTTTCCAATAAATATGTCAAACGGTCTGTAACCATCCTTTCCATTAATAGCTGCAATTTCTTCTTCTTCTTCTTCTTTTTGTTCAATGGCCGTTCACTCCTTAGGAGTATTACCGCCACCTACTGTATATCTTGCGCACATGGGTGATGAAGCTGTACTGCAGGGAAAAAAAAAAAAAAGAATAAAAATTAAAATTTGTAATGCACCACCCACCCCAGAAGATCAGAGCCCAAGCTGTGTGTTCAGCTCCTCCAGCTTCCACACTGTGCTCCTCAACCTCCGAGATGGGCAGAAGCATCATGATCCTCATCCTCAAACACTAAATCCTGTGGTCTAATCCTGTGAGCTCTAAAAATGTTAAAACCACCTTAAACATCTGACTATCACTCAAACCCTTTCCCAGAAGGTGCACGACACTCACTGGTCAGTTCCTTTAATATGCCTAAAATACGGTTACGCTGATCTTCATATTTACGACATTTAAAGAGCACATGCTCTACTGTTTCAAAAACATCACATTCATCAGACATACCATTTTCATGCTTCCCCATTAATGCAAGTGTTGGATTTAGTCCTGTGTGACCCATCCTTAATCTAGAAATCATTACTTCTTCCTTTCTGTGTCTTCCATAAAACTGTTATTTTTTCCCCTACTGATTTTACAATATTATAATACCACCTACCTGTGCTGCTATTTTCCCATCTTTGTTGCCATATTCTTATTATTTCCCTATTAATTACTGATTTTATCTCATTCCTTCCCAGAGGTAGCTTAACATCCACCAAGTTTTTCTTTAAAGCTTCTTTTGCTAATTTATCCACTGTTTCATTTCCTTCTATTCCCGATATGTGCCGGTACCCAACAAACGTATACGATTATACCTTCTATTTTCAGTCTGTACAGTAATGTGTACATTTCTACTAGCAGGTCTTCTCTGTCAGTTTTTGTCGACAATATACTTTTAAGAGCTGATGAAGAATCTGATTTTTGTTTGATTGGGTCTTTAGATCCATCTGTATAGATCTGTATAAAAGAATAAAAATTTTCTCTCATAAAAACATTGATTTCATAACTATTAGTATATCTTTCTTCTGCTTTTTCCCGGGCCTCCAACAATCTAATTTCAACAATGGGTTCAGGAATATTCCATACTGATACCCCATTTAATGGCATGTTGGGACAATTTTCTTCATTCTCCAGACCACAATCCTTGACCCACTGTTCATACTTCCAACCAAAACTAGTCCCTCCATTCTTTTTATATTGCCAACAATCATTTAAAATTGTGCGTGTACGATGATTCTTATTACTACACTCTAAAAAATGCTGGGTTAAGGAATGTACGCTCAAACAAAAAATCTAATATCCAATTATACATTCTCCCCCCTATTCCGATTTTATTTAACTTAATTAACAGTCCCTCCCTCCATAAAGTGTCATATGCCTTTTCAATGTCAAAGAAAACAGCAACAAGAAATTCTTTCATTATTAGAGCTTTTTTAACATAATTTTCAAATAATATCAGAGCGTCCATTGTAGATCTCTTAATTCTTCCTAAAACCACTCTGAGCCGATGATCATGTTTCTTTTTTTCTCCCCAAAAATTTAAGCTGCAATTTAATTGGATAAAACAACTTACGTAGGTGCCGCAGAATGGTGCCTGATTAAAAGAAATATACAATAACTAACAAACGTACCTAAAGTTGTAATAAAGCTGATTGAGTCATTCATTTGGCTAGTTTGTAAGTTATATAATAGCCGTACGAATAAAAAAAATAAATAAATAAAGCCAATGTAGCACCACATTCTTTATATTTAGAAACTCTAGATTCTATAAATGTTTTATATGTAGATTTATGTATAAAATAATATGTTTTTTTTTTAATGATTACCCTGAAACTACAATACATTTATTGTGGCTTTGTATTACATTTTGGTATCAAATACAAAGAGTGATTGTGAGAAAGCTATGAAAACATTGTAAAACATTTTCACCTTACTGTTGTGGTAAAATGTACTTTGGTTTCAAAAATGATCGAAAGATATATGATAAAACAGTTTTTTTTAAAATTTATTAATTAATCGTGTTACGATTTTACTAATTTACATATGCATAAATGCAAACTAGAAAATCCAAACCAATAACAACAAGGAGAAAACGAAAGTAAGCACACTGGCCATTTTGTTTGTGCACTTTAAGTATTTATTTGACTTATTTATGCACGTTACTTTGCCTTTTGTCATATTGTGTATTTTATTCCTCCTGCAGCTGGGAACTTAGAATGAGGGTGTAGTTTTCCGGCGGAACAATAACCGTGGACACACACATTTTTTTCTCCAGGTTGGATTTGTTTTTTCAAAAGAGTGAGAGATCATACTTCTGATATTTTTACACGCAATACCATCTTTTTCCAAGTGGGCATAAACTACGATTACAGGTGATTTTCTTACATACCGTAATTTTACGATGCGCAGCTTTTTTTCCATCTGGCGTGTGCCTACATTTTAAATCGCTCTGATCTTTCTTTATGTTTTATTATTAGTAGTTTGGATATCAATTTCTCAAAACGGCTGAACATCGGCGAAGTGCACGTTCAGTAGCATGGCATCAACGGTGGTGAGTGTTCACTGAGGTCAACATTCATCTAAATGCTTATGCAAATATGTTTCATAACTGTGCTCATCAATTCTATTCGGTACTGATCAGGACTTCAGGACTCTAGTTGATCAGTCATGCAGATACTCGGATGAATTCGTCAATATCTATTATGACTGTATGGATAAGAGAAGAAGGGTACGCTCATCTCATGTTTGGAGTTTTCACTTCTAATAGCATGTTTGCTGATCTGTGCATTCAAAGACTTAATAATAATAATGATGCTTTCAGAATTTGACGAGGCTGTATCTGGACAAAGCAACACTAGTGTGGAATGGAAATGCTTTCACAGGTCATGATGCTCTCAGCGAGTTCTTTGAGAGTCTTCCTTCCAGTGAGTTTCAAGTGCAAACTCTTGACTGCCAGCCTGTGCATGGTATGCTCATCATGTTTTAATTAATAATAATAATAATATATTTTCCTATTGTTTAATCAAATGCATTTTTTTAACAGAACAAGCAACTCAAGGCCAAACGACTTTGTTGGTGGTTACAGCTGGCTCAGTGAAATTTGACGGAAACAAACAGAGATACTTCAACCAGAATTTCTTATTAACTGCCCAAGCCTCTCCTAACAGCGACCAGCCCGTATGGAAGATTGCAAGCGACTGTTTTCGCTTTCAAGACTGGGCTAACTGAATTGTAGCTACAAACCTTTTGTATAGATTTTGTTTTCCTTTTTGTAAACTCATTGCAATTTAAGTATGTTCTGTAAATAAATAATAAAAAAAAAAAACATTCACAATCGAACTGTTTCTAATGTGGACTACCACACAATTTGAGTAGAAAACGATTTTACTTGTTCTCAGCAAATATTACATACAGTGAACCACAATAAAAAATAAATAAGCATCATAGAACATTCTACAAGCAAATTCACAATTTCTCAATGCAAACACTTGACTGCTGTATAGTCTTGATTGTGGTGATCGGAAACCTGAGGGTTGTGGGGGAAATAACTGCTGAATTTGATGGCTTAATGGCTGTTTGTTTTACAATGGCTAAAAATCCCTGACAAAAAGAATAGCGCAAATGACAAAATAATTATAAATAAAATACACTTTCTAGAATAAACCCAAAAGCGAACAAATTACAGTGCCTGTACAGTTCACACTTTAAAAACGAAAACAATTAAACACGGGTTAAAATAAAAAAGGTACAGTTTTCACCAAATAAATTAAAATACAGAATACTACACGAACAAGGGTTCCCCAACCTTAATATTCATATTCTGGGTTTGAATTTCCAAAGAGTGTCTTTTTTTACTTTTCAGCTTTATATATTAAATATTGAGGACATATTACCAAATATACTAAAAGCCTGCAGAAGTGGAATTTGTGAAAGACAAGAGAGCTTGTGACAATCGGACACAACAGTAAAATGAGTGGTTTGAGAAAAATCAGACGTGAAAAGATGATACAGATGAACTATAAAATTCACCTCTTGGTTAAGAGGGAAAAACTATCTAAAAATGTTCCCTTCATTTAAGTTCAGTCAAACAAACAGGACAAATGAGCAATAAACCACTTGCTAGTCATCTCAACCTGTCTTGAGTCAATCCATGAACACATATTTACTACTATATGATGTCAATTAGTACTCAAAACATTGTAATTCGGTGACAAATTTCCACAACCAAAAAAAAAACAAATCTCAAGTAAATTAAAGAACATGGTTTGTAACCGTTATAAAGGCACGAACATGAATGAAGCAAGGGAATTGAATTCTAATTTTCAGCCAATAGGGAATCGACGTATAAATAGTAACCAATCAGAAGGCACAGAAACGTCACTGTATATTACTCATCTCTACAAGGAGGCGGAGTTCTGCAGTGCAATGACGTCGCCTCAGCTAGCAGTTTTTGTGTTTTCAAATTCTATTAAACCAAACAAGTGAACAATTTTACAAAGAAGCGTTCACACATGTTCAAAAAAAGAAAGCACAATGTGATGGCAGTGTATCGCTGTTGTATGGAAGAAATCCTTTTTACAAGAGACTCCTTTTGTATACTAACATTAGAAATGAGTGGATACTTAATGTTGGATAAGATACATATTGTCCTTTACCCAACAGTTCTCAAGCTAATCAGCTACGACTTACTTGTAAACTATTTCACAGCAGAGAGACTACAGAGCTCTGAATGAAAAGCCCACAAAGCTCAGGAACAAAAATACACAGACCAACGGCTTATCAACATTGTTCATCTTTGAAAATTTGTGCACATCACTAAGCAATGGGCAGTGGTGAAGTATTTGTGGCAAAAAGTATTTAACATTTATTGATAAACAGTAATGTTGCACGGTGAGGAGCTGATGAAGATGTCTTTGGCTGTGATAGAGGTCCTACTTGTGGCCATACATTCTTTCGATGTCGTTGAGATAGTGGTTCTTCAGTTCCTTCCTCTTCAGTTTGAATGCGTCCGTCACCAGGCCCGTTTCAGGGGTCCAAGGCTCCGGACTCAGATGGATCATAACTGGTATTTCAAAGCGCTGGAGTTTAACTAGAATGATGGGAAGGCGATTAGAAGACATGCTTTGAGTCCACAAAGTCTCTTATGTTCACCAAGGCTGCATGTATTTGATCAAAAATACAGTAAAACTGTAATACTGTGAAATATTACAATGTAAAACGAACAGTTTTCTATTTAAATAGAATATAAAATGTAACTTATTTGTATGATGCACAGCTGAATTTTCAACATCATTACTCCAGTCTTCAGTGTCACGTGATCCTTCAGAAATCATTCTAATATGCTGATTTGCTGCTCAGGAAGCATTTGTTTTTAACAAGGTTGAAAACAGTTGTGCTGCTTAATATTTTTAATATAAAAAAAAGATATATTTTATTTCAGCTATTTGCCCAGGCAACATTTCTAATTTTAGTTTAGTTTAAATTGGTGTACTAAAATAACTGATGCATGAATAAAAAAAAAAATAAAAAAAATGGAATTGCTTAAATAAAACTAGTGCTGTCAAATGATTAATCGCGATTAATTGCATCCAAAATAAAAGTTTTTGTTTACATAATATATATGTGTATTTATTATGTAAATATAAATACACACACATACAGTATATTTTGAAAATATTTACATGCATTTATATGTATACATTTTATATTCATATAATTTATATTATATATATAAATATATTTAATATATAAACATAAAATTTTTCTTAAATATATACATGCATGTGTGTGTATTTATATATACATAATAAACACACACACACACATATATATTATGTAAACAAAAACTTTTATTTTGGATGCGATTAATTGCGATTAATCGTTTGACTGCACTAAATAAAACAGAAATTAAAATAAATAAATACATAATACAAAATATTAATAAAAACTATAGTAATACTATAATCTCAATGATAATAAAATAATACTATTTTTAACATTATAAATGTCTTTACTGTTACTTATGATAATTTTAATGGTCCTTACTGAATAAAAGTATTAATTTCCTAAAAAAAAAAAATAAATCTTTCTGAACCCAAACTTTTATATAGTAGTGTATGCTGAAGTTGAGTGAAGTCAATGTCAAGTGTGCACAAGGTCTGATGACTAAACAAAAAAAAAAAACAAACAAAAAAAATCATGATGTATCATACATTTTGTATCATGGTCTCTGAATCAAGTTTTTTAATAATATAAAAATAAAAATAGAATAGCCTCTGAATGAAAAAAATAATCATTTTTGTGCATGTTTTTCTTGCCAAAAATTCAACCGTTTTGTTAAGCAGGCCTTCAGGGGTCTTGTCTTAATTAGATCAGTGAATTTCTTGATACAGTGTCTGCACTTTTTCACCAACATACCTTGCTGCTATAAATACTGTAAGTTATACTCACTTGAAGTTGCAACTTCTTTAATTTCTCTCAGAACTTCCCTTTCCATAATCGGCTGGTTGCAAATCTCTTCCCACGTGCCTTCAATGCCCTTCTGACTGGCAAGAGCTGTCAGCTTCTTCTGATTAGGAACAATGAAGCTGATAACGTAGTTCTGGTCACTGGTGGGCACAGAGAGAGAGAAAAGAGGTCTGTATACAGTACGTCTGCTGTTCTAAAGAGAGGACTCTTTGTTAGGGTCAGTAACATCCCATATGTGTCAGACAAAGCCGAGCACACGAACCTGTTTGCATAAGCGCAGATGTTGTCAATGAGAGAGCAGTTCTTCAGAGCTGACTCAACTTTGCCTAAAGAGACGTACTCCCCAGCTTGAAGTTTCACAAGGTCCTTCTTGCGATCTAGGCATTACATACATATAATAAACAGATGTGAATAATACAGACAGACAGTTATCATAAATGTATGATTTTAACTAAAACAAGTAACAAGACTTCATTATGATGCTGAATGTAAACATACCGACAATCTGAAGACAGCCGTCAGGGTGCATCTCTCCAATATCACCAGTGCAGAACCACTGCTGGCCGTTCTCATCCACAAAGAAGTCCTCATTGATACAGCCTTCACTCCTGTAGTAGCCCATGGTCACATTAGGACCTCCGATGAGGATCTCACCACGTGGATGGGGCTTGTCATGCTTCTTATAGCCACCTGAAGTATTAGGAGAATCACGGCAGCTGTAACTGTTTGAATTTTTTTCAAGTTAAAGGAATAGTTCCTCCGAAAACGACACTTCTTACTCAACCTCACGTCGTTTCAAATCTGTATGCGGATACTTTTTCTTCCATAGAAGACAAAAGCAGATGTAATAAAAGGAAGCAGATGTTCATGGAGCGCTGAGTGGCGGGAGACAGAGGGGCTCCTCCGGACAGCATCATCCGCACGTTTCCACCCAGCAGGGCTCTGACTTTCTTAAACAAACTGAACACATGAGGGAACAAAGGCGATTAAAACTCCAGAGTCATTAGCAAGAGCAAATGTGATTAACTGAAGGCCTGTTTTAATCTTATCTTACATATTGCACAGGGGCGCATCATAACCCTTCTTGATCTGCTTGAGCTTGTAGTCGTAGGCCAGTTTGAACAGGGTTCTCTGCACGCAGTTCATCTCCTGCACTTTACTCATGACGTTCTTATTGATCCGGTCCATTATTTCCTGACAACAGGGGTGTGAGATTTTAACATGACTGATGTGAATGAAACAAGATGAAAATGTTTCGAGGAGTCTGACTTACAGGTACGGCAGCCATTAGAGAAGGTTTCAGCATGGTGCAGTCACCTTTACTTCCCCTCTTAATTTTGGTTGACTACAAAGCAAAAACAAACCATTCATCAATGGAGATTAATATCATTCCATTGTGTAAAAACCTCACAAATCTGTGTAAATGTGTGACTATATTTATCTGATCCAGTAATAAATTGAGGTGCAGTACCTGATCAGACAGTGTTTGTGGTGAGGAATAGCCGATCCTGCAGCCGTACGTCACACATGAGATCTCAGCCGTCATTTCCAGCACATGAGCAAGAGGCAGATAGGCGATATATGTATCCTTTGATCTGTGGAAGCATACGTGCATATTAAAGCAAAACTAATATGCATTTCAGTCAGGCACTGTTGCTTTAATTGAGTGCAACAATCAGGTTCCAGAAGTAAAAATCCCATTAATTTTCTCCACTGCGGAACTGATTTTTAACAGTAACTTTTAAACCATTAAACACAGACCTACTGTGAGCTACAAGGTTGTTAATCAATAGTATATGCTTTTGTTGAAGCCATCAGCCTACATTATTTCAAGTTCATTTTTAATAATTATGTTGAAATGTGAATTCCCTAATGAAAAACTACATTACCCATGATTCTGCAGAGAAGCTCCACCAATCAGAGAATCAAAAATAAACAAACTGATCTAAACACACACATACACAGTACACACACACACACACACACACACACACACACAGTATATATAATTCAGTGATGGGCAACTGGCGGACACTGGCAGTGTCTTTTAGTACGGCCCGCTGGATCATATTAG